GGTAGCTACCAGCCCTCAAGGAGGGAAAACAGGAAAGCGCCTATTTAACATTTACTATATCTTTAATGGCATTATTTCTTTTCATTCGTTAATTTGTAATAATTGTTGCAGCTGTGGTGATCTAAGTTGGCACATCTAAACCATAATTCTTTTATCCATCCCAAATCAGTGAAATAAGTGCCATGTGTAATTAAAACATGATGAGCGGTGTTAGATACCATGTTATAGGGTACGGACACACCTGAATGTGTTGGATGGGTATTGATACGGAAAATATTGTTACAGAACCCCAAATGGATGACGCAGCATCACCAAAATGACCATCGACAGGCACCAGAATTCTCCCTCAACAGGATGAAAAGTATTACAAACCAATGCATTACAGGCTACAGTCCTTTTTCTGATGTTATCTATAGACATGATATCCACAATGGCATTAGCGCAAGCATCATCTAATCCTCCTAATTTGTCTAAAAGCACTGAGTCTATTAGGTGATTTTAGGAAATTGACGCATAAAGTGGGGTATCCGCTACTCATTAAATAGCAGTCACCTCAACACTAGATTATGGTTAAGTACTTCACGGTTATCATTCTACATATATTGCAGTCTCAACTTCAGTGCTAATATGAGGAAGAGGCTTTTATTAAATAGAAGCAAGGTTAAAATTGTATTAATAAAAGCAAAGAGTCTCATTCTAACATTACCCGGAAAATTGTTCGCCATTGTAATGCACTTAAAATAAAACGAAATTGCTAATGGTTATATTTCCTTGTGGCTAAGTACATTTCATTCCAAAAAATCCAATTGCCTTTAATCAATTGAACTCTTTTAATATATGCAAATGCTCTACATAAATAAGTACGATGTGTTTATAATGTTTTTTATTCCTTTTTCTGGCAAATAATTATGCTATTGCCCTTTAACCGTAGTTTTTGTGCCCTTCTTCTGTATCCAGTTTCAGCTAAGCACGAATTCAAAAATTGTACAACATATATACAAGTAGGACACTCGATTACAATGTCTTGCTTTTGTTGGTGAATTCAGCAAGACATTTTGATTCGTACCCATTTGTTTGAATTCGCCGAAACCCTGGGACGTCGCATTCTGCAATTAGATTCGGGTGGTGCTGAGATAGGTTTGTGCACTGACGTAAACTGTAAAGAATTGTGGCCTTTACTGGCCTTCGCATAATACCTCATAATGATTTTGATCACGAACCTTGTTGATACCCACGCGCAGTTGGATTCGTCATGCTTGAACTGAATTCGCCACCTCACAAATTGGCAGCATGGGATTTGGATTTGCACGTGGGTTTTGTTTTTAGCGTATAAATATAGTGATTCTACAAACCCGAAGCCAGTCGGCAAAATATTTGCATGAATAGAAGCCGAACTGCTTACTTCCGTTGAAGAGATTTGTAGATATTCTATTTCCACTAACGAAGCTTTACAGTTTTATTTTCCTTGTTGTATTTGCTTTGCATCGGAGTTCCACCACTTTATAATGTCATCGACAGCATTAAGTTGCCATAAATTTTGGTTCATAAATTCTTCTGTTATTTATTGAGCCATGTCAGGTTATGCAATGTGTTTCAAGGCGGGCGTGCTATGTGGTTGAATTTTGCGAAATAAGTGTGTAAAATTGCTTTGTGGTCAAATATTAGAGAGCGAAAGCCATTTTTTGGGACAGATTAAGATGCACGATGGCATTTATTTTGCCATTGACAAAATTTATTACCTGTAAACGAATTACTGGTAGACTTCTCTCGTTTTTCCTTATTTTTCTGAGTTGATCTACTTTGTTTCCTTTTTGTTATTATTTTAGGAGGGAAGTGTGGTTAACAGTTTGTGCAGAAGGCGTTAGATGGGTGCTCAATATCCCCTAAGATGTCATTCGGATGGAGAAGTGGGTACGTTCTTGTTTATTTGTCTATACATGTACTCTTCTGGTTAATACACTTCCATTATCAGGAGCAAAATTATATTATCTGGTTCCGATGCATGTAATGGCTCTCTGCCCAAGTACTCCACCTTGACGCCGACTTATTTTTCCTGTCGTTGTTAATATCAAAGAGTTGGCGTGGTATCTATCGTGGATGAACCAGTTGAACTTACAATTGCAATTGTGAATATTGTAGTGCATGTACCGTTCTCACAGAAATGTTTGGGTTGGCCTGTGAATATTGTCAATGTTTGGGTTAGTTGAAGGAGGGCTTGAGGGATATGGGCGAAGAGATGGATATCCCCCCCTTGTGACTAATTATCGCAAAGAGCTATAATCCATTAAACTTCCAGTTGCTGTTTTGGTTAAATATTCAAAAAGTCTTCAAATTATGAACGCACTTTTAAATGTGTGAATTCAGGTAGATATTGCTGTTTTGATAAAACAGATTCTGAATGATTATTGGCTGAAATTTAGTTGCCTTCTGATCTGGTGATAATTTCCAACAGCACAACTGTTGTGTTGTTAGGACTAGTCGACATAGGCGGAACTGAATGGATTGGGAAGAGTCCGATTGAGTAGCAACTGGATCTGGAGAAAGCTCCAAACAACATTTACCTGATTCAACCTGCATTATTGAAGACTCATTTGCGGTTGCCAAATCCCATGAAGGGAGAAGTGGCAAGCCCTGATTTGACATTCACTTTACCATTGTTGGTATTCTATACATTTGATAATTCGTAGTTGTATTTGTTGTTTTTGTTGTTGTTCCTAATCAACACATTTAGACCGTAATTTCTTTCATCGAGCATCTTGTCACTGTCGCGTCAACACTTTTTGGTCAAATTGAATGCATCCGATTAATGGCGAGTGAATGCGTATTTGGTC